TACACACTTCCTGTAACATACAAAGGCTTTTCCACAGGTTAGGTCTCCCCTAACCACCTACCAAAGCACTGCATTAAAATCCTGAAAATTTAATCTTGAATATTAATTTATTGATGAAAAATCAAAATAAGTTGGCAAAAAGAAGAAAAAAAATACATCCTAACATTTTAACATTAAAAAACAAACAACTGGTATAAAAACATACAATGAACTACTTAAATACTAATCCAAATCAACTGGATGTTTTAATAATAATAAAACACCCAACCTAAAAATCGTTGGTTATTGTAAAATTGTAATTGTAAATTGTAAAATAACAATTGTAATTGTTATTGTAAAATTTATTGATGAAAAATCAAAATAAGTTGGCAAAAAGAAGAAAAAAAATACTACATCCTAACATTTACTAAATTAATTGTCACAATAGCTATATAATACATGCAATTCTAAACAATCCTAACGCTGTTTTAAGACAGTTCTGTCTAACTTCATTTACTATCTATTAATTTACTTCGCAAACTTGTAAATAAAACAAGAGAACTGTTAATTCCATAAATGCCAAGAAGAGAGGAAAAAATGATAAATGAAAAAAACCCGATGATAAAGGCAAACTGGAACAATGTACTCAGGTGCAGCATTTCGCACTGCTGAAACAAAAATTCTGCACTTTCACAGTGCAAGCTCAGAGCTGAACAAATATCCACCTAATTCAATGGAAAGTGTCTGATTCATTTCAATGAGCACTAGAAGAGACGAAAGTGATCTTGAGAAGATCCTGGTGAGTCACCAGGATTCAAAACTTTTTGAATTAAATTCCCTGTCAGAGAAAAATACTGTTGCATAATCCTAGCAAATTATCAATGATCTAATTATCCACTAAGCTGCATTTCATGTACTCACACCACAGCAACACTGATGTAACACTCTTCTGCTCTTTACCCAACAGTATTTTCTGATCTTTTTACACTGGTATACACGACTACACATCCTGCAAGGCAGTGAAGATTCAGATACATCGTATATAAGCTTTCCCTTACACAGTGGACTGATAGCACCAGCTGCCCTTTAGCACATGACTTTTCACCAGTGATGGACATACACTATGGAAGCTTACCATGCCAATCTCTTTAGTAACTCCTTCTCCATATCGGATGTTTGAAATAGCCATCTACAAAAAAGAGAACATATTTGTCTGGAAAAACGAAGAAGTGACAGCCAGTCCCAAGCAGTCAAAGTGAAACATAAATACTTACTAATGTAAACATTCGTTAAATGCCATATTTGGAAGTATACAAAATACTACTTTTAGATCAAATATAATCTACCTCAAATGCATAGTCTGTATTTCCCAAGGTAGGCCGTTCAGCAACTGGAATGGAAATGAAACAGTAAAATCAGGGAACAGAAAACAACTCGAATCTGAATCTCAATACTAGAGTTGACCGACTCCTTTGCTTTTAAAATCACTAATACATTTGCACAGGTCATCTTGGCTTGTCTGGGTAACCGCTACCCATTTCATCCGTTGTTGTATGTGAGATTCAATGATACAAGTACTTAATTTGATTAATATAATTCAGCAAAACAAGTGTGGGGTTTTTTTTCCTTCTTTGAAGAATTAATTCTTACCTATAAAAATTGAGTAAGTTAGCAGGAAGTTTGCATGAGAATTTGCTTGCAGTCTGTAAAGGCCAGAACAGTACATAGTAAGTAGAACTGAGTATCCGCAGAGCACACAGGCTGCTACGTGGAGGCTGAGAGGTGTTAGAAATGTGTAGTGGCTACATGATAACCTCCAGAACAACTTCTCAGGCAAATCCACGAGACATCCTCCATATGCACCCAGACAGAGAACATCTTTTGTACGTGTGACAGAGTAATACTAACAGGTGTTTACACTTCTTTTTACTTCTGTCTAGTCCTGAACTTGCAAGTGAAACTCAATTTCTTGCTTGAAAATTCAGAAACTGCATGCATTGTTAATAACAGTCTTAATAAGAATAGGTGTGTCAATATCAACTTTATTTAGTAGAAAAGATATCTATAAGAATAGTATTTCAGTCACATCCTCTCTCCACCATGTCATTCTTGCATGAATTACCACAAAGCTCTGAATTTCTTGCATATCTTGATTTTGCCACAAAGTGAAACAAACTGCATCAGTTGAAACAGCCCATTCTTCTCCAAGAAAAGATCAGATGAGGAATATGCAATCTGGATTCAGATCCAACGAGTGAAGCCACGGTAATGAGTCTTACAGAGACTCTGGGGTGCACTGAAGCACTGACCCACAACAGTAACAGATAGATGTATTAAAATCCTTTATGCACTTGCTATTCAAGCCCAGGCCAGCTGCTATCAGCTCTTTCATTGCCATCTCTTGCCAGGCTGTACATGTTTGACCTCTCCTGGAGTCTGAGTCTGCTGTACTCTCAGTCATTAATTTGACAGGCTAAGAACACATCCAAGCCATTTACTCTTTTGCTTTCTGATAGTATAATAGCTGCCCTGCTGTTCTGCGCTTGAGCCAAACTTCACTTTCAGGAAGAATTTTACTGAGTTCAAAAATTGCACTATTTCCTCAATCACTGTCAAGAAACACAATGAACATTTTTTTTTCTGCTACAGTCCTTGTTAAATCAATCCCCACTATTCAGAGACTTACGGGAACTGATATCATCTTGCCACATCATAGATTCAACCGCTGCCTAAAACAGCGAGGGCTCTTAACTAAGACTTCTATTTAGCAAGGGCTTAGTTTGAATTGACCGAGTAGGTCGTCGAGCAGACAAGCAGAAGAATGAGATTCTATTCCTCAGCTGTGCTATTGTCTTGCTGTATGATGGTCTTGCGCAAAACAAATATCTGAACATATTTATAACTTTTTCCATATGTAAAATGGTAATGGTAAATCTTTAAAAAGTGTCTTAAGTAAAGCGCATGAAACCAAGCCACCCAGAATTACACATTGATGAAATTACAGCTCAAAATACTAATTTGTATTGGATCTGGAATCTGACCAGCACACAGACGGCTATTCCCATAGCCTCCCTACAGTCAATACAAACAGAAATTCCTCTCAGGGTGACTTGGTGACTCTGCGCAGCTCTCCTGCTCTTACGCCACAACCCTGGCCCAAGTGCTTGGGACTGACTGCATAACAACCCTAGGGAGATTACATTCCCCAAGTCAAAGCAGGCCTTTGTGAATACCTCCTTCTCACCCGTGTTGCTCCCTGTTTCTTTTCTAATGTCACAGACGCATATTTTTGCCCTCAAAAGCAGACCTAAAGTTGAAATGGCTCAGGTGATGGCAGCAGTAGCAGCAGCCAGAGCAAATTTCTGATCACCTTGCCTCACGGCAAGGGAAGGACAGGACGCATTAGCTGTGGCTTATGTAGAAGCAGTCGATCTCTCCAACAACCACTACCACCGCACGGCTGCAAAGCCACAGACTGCTCACCTTG